CCCTAGGGAGCTCAGCATTTGCCCAGCAAAAGGGACAAGAGGGAGGAGCCTGTTAGGAATCTGAGGAGGAGCAGCCAGAGGAGGGGGAACTCAGGAGAGCATGCTGGTGTGAGAGTCAGGAGAAGTGTGTCAGAAGGGAGCAGTTGACAATGTCAGAAGCTACCAAGAGGCACAGTAAGATTCAGGGAGGAAGTGAGTGTGGCTGTTTCTTTATGGGCCAGAATTTTATAACTCCAGGATGAAAGGGCACCTAACAAATAGCAAGTACACAAACTAACTTTTGTACCTACCAGACTTCAGACTAAAACTAGTACAAGGGATACTTGCCAGGGTAAGGAGAAGCCCAGGAAATTGCAAGAGAATGTCCAGTTTCTAAAATGACTTACAATTATCATCCAAACGAATAGTATAAAAAAAATACACCTAAAAAAATGTGTGAAAATGGCCAAGAAAACACTGAAAATCAAGCTTAATGGAGGAAGATTTGACTGCCAGTTATTAAAATTTACTATCAGCTGTGCTGACTGGAACTGCCAGAATAGATTACAAGCCCAGATGGGAAGCCCTGATACATGACTTTGGTGGGGACTAGTAGGTAGCTCCTCTGGCTACTTTCTTTCCAGTTGAATAGTTCGGATTTTTAACTCCCTCGCAACTAGGTTCAGTTACTCAGGTGTCCTTGAGTTAGACTTGAAAGGCAGAGAGCAGAGGCCATTTTCCTGCTGCTTCTGATGGAGATTCAAGGGTTCCATAGGAAAGAGGGGTCCACCAGTATAAAGAGCCCGACAGCCATATTCTCCAGGTGTTCAGTCCCTCTTCGCCACCCCAAACCAAGTGACAGTCCAAGAGACTCTGCCCATGGAGACTCCACCTGCTGGTCCTTCAGGTGGAGTCACTGATAACAAAAATCTCTAGCTTACTCCTTAGTGTTTATTCTGAAGGCAGAGTACGTGTAGCAAGACCAGATTTTTGTCCCAGCTAGCAAGGACTACTGCAATGTCAAAAGAGCACATAAACAGACTTAAAAAGCAAATGACAAACTGGGAAAAATGGCTGTAACATAGGCAGCAAAAGGCTGATATTCTATGAAGAGTTCTTGCAAATCTAAGACAACGATGAATCCAAGCGGGCAAAATATTATGTGTAGGCAATCGGCAAAAGTGATGCGTAAAAACAGGTTCAACATTACTAGTAATTAATGGCATAAAGCTTAAAACAATAATACAAAACCACTGTTCCATTATATTGTCAAAGATGACAAAAAATGGTGTGACAGTGAAGGACGTGGAGAAAAGCTGCTGTCAAAGCTGTGCCATCTTTCTGTATATCTTTCATATTAATCAAACACCTTCAACAATGAGCACAGGTTTTAACACCAGTTCCCAGACTTTACTCTGAATAAAATAATGACGTGCACACAGATTTAGCTACAAGTACTTTTGCAAAAGTTAAAAGTTGAAAACAACCCAAATGTACAAAAATAAGAGAGATAATTATGGTACATTTGTATAATGGTATGCCACTTGGTCATTAAAAATGCCATAGAAGGCTGGGCATGGTGGCTCACGCCTGTAATCCCAGCACTTTGGGAGGCCAAGGCAGGCGGATCACCTGAGGTCAAGAGTTTAAGACCAGCCTGACCAACATGGAGAAACCCCGTCTCTACTAAATATACAAAATTAGCCAGGCATTGTGGCGCATGCCTGTAATCCCAGCTACTCAGGAGGCTGAGGCAGGAGACTCGCTTGAACCATAGAGGCAGAGGTTGCAGTGAGCCATGATCGTGTCATTGCACTCCAGTCTGGGCAACAAGAATGAAAACTCCACCTCAAAAAAAAAAAAAAATGCCATATAAGTATATTTTTGATAGGTTTATTTCTGGCTGTTGGTTTTACAGGTGGTTTTTGTTTTTTTATTTTATCATTTACTATTTTCCTGTAATTATTGCATATTTTTGAATAATGATTTTTTTTAAACTAGCAATTATATGGTGAAAAGGAGAGAAAGGCATTAGTAAATTCTGAAGCAACTGAAATTGAATTGCATGTAACTCATCATTGATAAATAAGCATCAAGGCCAACACGGTGAAATTCCTTCTCTACTAAAGATACAAAAAATTAGCCGGGCGTAGTGGCTCACGCCTGTAATCCCAGCACTTTGGGAGGCCGAGGCGGGTGGATCACAAGGTCAAGAGATCGAGACCATTCTGGTCAACATGGTGAAACTAAAATCTAAAAATACAAAAATACAAAAATTAGCTGGGCATGGTGGCGCGTGCCTGTAATCCCAGCTACTCAAGAGGCTGAGGCAGGAGTATTGCCTGAACCCAGGAGGCGGAGATTGTGGTGAGCCAAGATCATGCCATTGCACTCCAGCCTGGGTAACAAGAGTGAAACTCCGCCTAAAAAAAAAAAGATACAAAAAATTAGCCGGGTGTGGTAGTGTGTGCCTGTAATCCCAGCTACTTGGGAGGCTGAGGCAGGAGAATGGCTTGAACCCAGGAGGCAGAGGTTGCAGTGAGCCAAGATCACGCCTTTGCACTCCAGCCTAGGAGTCTCCAGGGAGAGACTCCGTCTCAAAAAAAAAAAGGATATATATAAACAAACAAACAAACATCGTTACATACTAACATTTACCTGAAATAAACTAGATTTCACTTACCTGAAATAAACTAGATTTCATTTTTCTACTACGGCATATAAGAAAATAAAAATGGACTTGAATTACAGAAAATAAAGTTACAATTCAGGCATATGTCTTTGAACTGAGACTTGTACCTGTTACGTGTGTATAAAAAATACATCCACTAGTTGAAAACCGTGGTTCCTTTCAGCAGGGTGGGATTAGAGGGGGGCAGGAGACAATTTTTGGTTTACACAACTCCATTTGACTTGTTATAACAAGCATGAAAAATCGAAGGTCACTTAAAAAGAAAAAATGGATGGGCCGGGCGCGGTGGCTCAAGCCTGTCATCCCAGCACTTTGGGAGGCCGAGGCGGGTGGATCACAAGGTCGAGAGATCGAGACCAACCTGGTCAACATGGTGAAACCCCGTCTCTACTAAAAATACAAAAAATTAGCTGGGCATGGTGGCGCGCGCCTGTAATCCCAGCTACTCAGGAGGCTGAGGCAGGAGAATTGCCTGAACCCAGGAGGCGGAGGTTGCGGTGAGCCGAGATCGCGCCATTGCACTCCAGCCTGGGTAACAAGAGCGAAACTCCGTCTCAAAAAAAAAAAAAAAAAAGAAAAAGAAAAAAGAAAAAATGGTTATAATGATGAAAATACTTAGAAATATGTAAAGTATGGTATGATCATTAGAAATCATATATATCACAATATACTGTGCTTATAACTATGTTCATATATTTCCATGTGAAAGAAGCCTGAACAGAATACTCTACAATGAAAATAGTTGTTCAAGTTAATTCAGTCCTTCATTTATTCCATAAATGTGTGCTGAGCTGCTACTACAGGCCCGGCAACTGTTGCAGGCACCTGGGATATAGCAGGCAATCAAAAGTCCAATGTGCCTCCACTCAGGGAACTCACATTCTAGCAGCAGGAGACGGACAATACATGGTAAACACAGCGAGTGTTTTAGGAGGTGTGAGAAGTGGAGCAGGCCAAGGGAGACGAGCAGTGCTCTGGGTCAGGGGCAGGTTTGAATAGGGTGGTCAGGAAAGGCCTCACTGAGGTGACATGGGAGGAAAGATTTGAAAAGAGCTGAATGGGTCCGTTCTGGAAATGCCTGGAAGAGGAGTTTTGCAAGCAGCCAACAGCCAGTGCAGAGGCCAGTGCCGCTAACGGAGATAGCTAAGCAGGCCGGCGGGTTGTCCGGCTCTGCGGCCGTTGTAAAGACCTTAGCGTTTTATTTCAAGCAAACTAAGAAGCCCCTGTGCGGTTTGGAGCCAAGAAACCAGGATTCCCGAGGCTGCTGTGCGGAGATGACAGCTACTGGGAGGGCGGCGGAGGACAGGCACGTTCAGGCGTCCGGATGAGGGATGCAGCGCGCTGTGCACACGCTGCGGGATGCAGCCTAGACACAGACTGAAGGCAGAGCCGACAGGGTTTCTGATCAGACCGTGGCGACGCCGCGAGACAGTGAGGCTGGCTCTTCGGCTTCTGGCTTGAGTGAATGGCGTCGCCATTAACGCCGACGGGAAAGACAGGTGGGCGGCGCAGGTTTGGAGACGGGAAGAAAAGGGTCTGTTTCTTCCTCCTTGGAATAATACATTCCAAGTAATATATAATAAAGCGATATGTATTTTTTCCTTTAAGAAAGTTCCAAATATTATGCTGCTGTTCCAAGTTAAAGAATCATTTCACGCCTCCTGACGCAGCGACCATTACATTCCGTGCCGCCCGTCCGCGCTCCGGGGAAACCCCGGACGGACGCAGGCCCGGAGACCGGGGGGCAAACGCGGAGGCCGCAGACCCGCCCCCGGTCCCGGCCAGATCCTCGCGAACGTCGGCACAGGGCCGCGCGGGAACTTCGGCAACGCCCGGCGGCTCCCGCGGGTTCAGGGCGGGGAGAACCGCGGGGCCGGCCCGGAGCGTCAGAGTCCGCGGTCGGACGGGGCCGCAGGCCGCCCGCGAGGCCCCCGGGCACGGCGGGAAGGGCCGCGCCGGCCAGGCCGCCCTCCTCCCGGCAGCCCCGCCGCAGGTCCCCGGCCGGCCCGCGCCCGAGCGCGCCCCGCAGGGGTCCCGCCCCGTCCAGGGGGCAGCGAGGACCAGCAGCAATGCACGGCCCCGAGCCTCCCTCCGCTGCTCCACGCACAGCCCGCAGCCGCCGGGCAGGCGCGCACAGGCCCCCGCGCCATCTGAAAACCTCCCCGCCAGGACGCGCGGCAGGCGGGGGAGCTCGGCTCTTTCCGGAAAGCCAGGTCGGGCGGGCCGCGGCCCGGCGACCTCCGGGCGGAGGGCGAGGGCGGGGCTGCCCCGCACCGGCTCCGCCCCCATCTCAGCGTCCTCGCCCCGCCCCCCCCCGCGCAAGCCCCACCTGAAACCCAGAGGGCTGACGCATGCGTGCTTCTTCCCGCGCGGCTCCAGCAGCCGCGCGCTCCCGCAGCCGGCCAGTCTCTTCTGCCCCGCCCCTTCCTGTACGGCCGCTACTCTGCGCCCCGACTTCGTTCTCACAACCTGGTTCTGCCCACACCTGTTCTTCAGCCCTGTCAACAGTGGCTGTAGAACAATCTCAGGCCTGGCCGAGCCACCTCCCTCGCTCCCATGGTGGCGGTGGTGACGGGCTGGGGACGGAGTGGGGGGGGCGGGTAGGAAAATGGGCGGGATGTGGGAGGTGGCGTTGCTGGCCCACTTCCGGATGCGGGCGGAAGTGGCTGCGGTGGATGGTGGGAGGGGGGAAGGAGTGCGAGGGGAGGGCCGGGCCGCCGGGGGTCGAGGGGGTGGGGCCTGGGCTGGCGCAGGGGATCGGGCCTGGGTCCCGGCTTGCTACCCCGGGCGGGCCGCGGCTCTTAGCCGAGACGGGGCGGGCGGGCAGCAGGTAACGGCCCGGCGCGGTTAGGGCGAGGGTCGTCCGCAGGGCGGACGGGTAGGGGGTCGGATTCCAGGGAGGGTCGCGGTGTCACCCCCTTCCCCTGTGGACCCGGAGCTCGAGGTTCCGGGGAGACGGGTGGGAGGAGTTAAATTCTTGGAGGGGGTGGAGGTCATGTGGACGCCACGCCCCTACAGGAAGGCAGCGGGGGAGGGGGGAGGGAGTGAGAGAGTGAGTGTGAGTGTGTGTGTCAGTGTGTGTGTCTGTGTGTGTCAGAGTGTGTGTGAGTGTGAGTGTGTGTCTGTGTGTCTGAGTGTGTGTGTCTGAGTGTGTGTCAGTGTGTGTGTCAGAGTGTGTCAGTGTGTGTGTCTGTGTGTGTCTGAGTGTGTGAGTGTGTGTCTGAGTGTGTGTGTCTGTCAGAGTGTGTGTGTGTGTGTCTGAGTGTATGTGTCTGTGTGTGTCTGTGTCAGAGTGTGTGTGTGTCTGTGTGTGTGTGTGTCTGTCAGAGTGTGTGTGTCTGTGTGTCTGTCAGAGTGTGTGTGTGTGTGTCTGTGTCAGAGTGTGTGTGAGTGTGTGTGTCTGTGAGTGTGTGTGTGTGTGTGTCTGTTTTGGAATAAACTTGGAGGGGAGGGGGCGGCAGGGTGAGCCTCCGGGCTGAGAAATGGGGACACTGTGGGGGTACTGCAAGCAGGACTTGGGCCTTAAACATTCCAGGAGAGTGTTCTCTACCCCCGGGAAGGACTTCGACAGTGGTTGGGAATTGTGTCTCTGGCACAGTTTTGCAAGCAGAGGGGGCGTGAGGGTGGAAGGAAAAGGAGCAAAGAATGCATGTGGAGGGTGCCAACGTCCCGGTCTGGGAAGGATTTATTAACTGGTCGAAGACGGCGGGTGAATTAAAACAGCACCCTAAGAAGCTTGGGGGTTTCGATGATTATGTTGCGCTTTAGACGGGAGGGCAGGAGAAAGGGCGTTATTTTGTCTATTTCTTAGACAGTCCTCAGTAATTTTTCTGTGGTGAGAATGGGTACGACCCATATTTTATCCTGAATCATGTATATGTTTGTACATATATATAATATGTTTATATATAAACACTTGATGAGGTGACTATTCTGGCGTGTGATACCTGAGTTAAATAGATGTTTTATATAATCTTGTGGAGCGTTTAACGAGGGTTTTTTGATGGTAGAGCCTAGTATCAACTTTTAATGTAGGTAGGGAGTGGAAACTAGAAGGTTTTAAGACTCTATTTGGGTATATACTAGATTAGAGAATGTTATACTATTTAAATGTTCTGCAGGTTAACACAAATCTGCCTCCTGGGCCATGCCGCTTCTAAGACCTGTTTCTTCTCATGAGCCCCAGCAGAAGACATATGGGCCAGTTCTCACAGTGGATAACTTCCCCTGCCTGAGCAAGAGATGGAATAGTATCTGGGATCTGCCTATCACCAGACTCTGAGCTTAACCAGGCAGCTGGATGAAGGGATGTAACGGACCCCTGAGAGTGGTACTGAAGTCTGCAGTGGGGGGGGAGGGGCCTGGACACACCCCTTCCCCCCCAGACTCCTCCCCCTCAGGGTCAGCTCAGCCATGGACTTTGGACCTGGATAAGAAGAGAGAAGCTGCACTTTGTTTGGGGGATCTGATTTGGGATTCTCAGTTTTGGAAATGGAGTGCTGGATGGGGGCTTGATCTCCAGGGGAGCAGCGGAGACGAGAGAAGCAAGGTAAGGCTCCTGTCTCGTTTCCCACTTAGTGAGTTGCTGCACCTGTGCGGGTGTTGAGCCAGTGGGTGTGCTGAGACTGCTATTCAGGGAGTCTTATCCAGACGGGTGCACTGGAAGCTACGCCGCTCCTTCACTCTGTCCGGATGTGTACTTGTTCCCAACCTCTCCTGGCCCAGGCTGGATGAATGCCTTGGATTGTGAGCAGTGATAATGGTGAGGTTAGGCCAAGGAGAACATGAAAATAATTCAGGCTTCTGAAGGGAGGTTGGATTAGATGACGTTTAAGGGCCCTTCCAACTGGGAGATAATAGGATTCCAAGTCAGTCTGGGTTAAGACTGGAATGGATTACCTAGCCAGAGGCAGCTGCTCTGTTTTGGGGAGCTAACCGAATAGGACTGTTGGTGGGGGGGAGGGGGTGGGAATGGTCTAGATAACCTAAGTTTCTCTTCCTCCTAAAACCGGAGCTTAGGCCATGAAAGCTCAGCAAAAGAGCAGAGTAACAGAACATAGGTTTGGGAGTCAGGAGTACTTGTGTTCTAGCTTTGACTTTTTTAGTCAGTGTTCAACCCTACACAGGCCCATTAATCTCTGCCATGTTCTCTTCACCTACAAAATGGGGGTAAAACTTAACTTTCCGTGTTCACACGTTGTTACAAGGAGCAAATGAAACAATGAAGGATTTTGAAAAGTATCCAGGGCCATGCACATAGGAAACACTAACACTGATACTGCTCCATATGCCTTAAAAGCCGGAAACAACTCCAAATCAGGAGTTCTGTTTTCTTACTGAAATCATGTGCTGGCAAGAACCCAAGAAGATGTCCTTAATTAAAAGTCTGCCCCTGAATTTGTTTCATCCTCTTGTTGTTAAACAATACTTGAGATTGTCAAGTTGTAGAACCGGTGAATGGATCCGAGGAGAAGTTGGATTAAAGAATTCTTGCAGATACTACATTGGCCCTTATGGCTCTCCAGTCCAATTTCAGTGTGCCCCTTGGAGGTAAGCTGATTAAAAAGGTGGTGGAGGGAAGTTTAAGCCTTAAGGGCCAAGTGTCTGGCTAGGAGTTGGTAGTGCATTTCTTTTTTTATTTTTTCTTTTTGAGACAGAGTCTTGCTCTGTCGCCCAGGCTGGGGTACAGTAGTGCCATCTTGGATCCCTGCAACCTCCGCCTCCCAGGATCAAGCAGTTCTCTGCCTCAGCTTCACCGGTAGCCGGGATTACAGGCGCCTGCCACCATGTCCAGCTAATTTTTTTGTATTTTTAGTAGAGATGGGGTTTCACCACTTGGCCAGGCTGGTCTTGAACTCCTGACTTTGTGATCCACCTGCCTCGGCCTCCCAAAATGCCGGGATTACAAGCGTTAGCCACTGCACCCAGCTTCTTTTTTTTGTGTGGAGACAGAGTCTTGCTCTTGTCGCCCAGGCTGGAGTACGATGGCGTGATCTTGGCTCACTGCAACCTCTGCCTCCCGGGTTCCAGTGATTCTCCTGTCTCAGCTTCCCAGGCAGCCTCAGTGGTAGAGCATTTCCTCCTCGGAGTGAGCAAGAATTCCTCTCCCTGACCCTCCCACTGTCCTGCCCTCCATCTGACCCTTCATGAGACAGTCCTCTCAAGACAACCACTGGCTTTCTCACAGGGGCACCAGGATGTCAGCACTCAGCAGGTATCAGGCTGGTGAGCCAGGACCAATGATGGACTTAACCAGACTGTGTGTGTGTGTGTATTATTATTATTGTTTTTTGACATGAAGTCTCGCTTTGTTGCCCAGGCTGGAGTGCAGTGGCATGATCTTGGCTCACTGCAGCCTCCCCCTCCTGGGTTCAAGCGATTCTTCTGCCTCAGCCTCCAGAGTAGTTGGGATTACAGGCACACGCCACCACGCCCAGCTAATTTTTGTATTTTTAGTAGAGACAGGGTTTCACCAGACTGGTCAGGCTGGTCTCGAACTCCTGACCTTGTGATCCGCCTGGCCAATGTGTGTATTTTAACTCCATTTATATATTTCCTTCTTTATTCCAAATGAATTTTAGCTGGCTAACCAAAAATTACATTTCACAGACATTGTTTAGTGATTACTGTGTTAATCTTTCTTCTTTGACCTGGATGAGATGCGTTTCTGGGTCTCTACCGTGGGGTAAGGGAGAGGGGCAAGCAGAGATGCTGGGAGGCAGGGAGAAGAGAAGCAAAACCCTGGTTAAAAACTTTGCTTTTACTGTTTTCAAGCCAACGTACGTTTTAACTTCAGGGCATGAATTCTTTCCGAATTGTAAAAAATGTCATGGATCTTGGGCATGGTTTATGAAGGGCAATTTCCTTTTCTTCTTTTCAATTATCTTGGTGGTGGTGGAGTGGGCAGGAAAGGGTATTGTTCCTTCTAATTCTGTTTTATCCTGTGACTGGATCCTCCTGTTTGTCTCTTTTGCACATAATCCAATCCCAGGCCCACCCCCAGAATCCCGGCTGGCCCGTTGTTTCTGTCCCTCTTACCGCAGTCACTGCTGCCCAGGCAGCCTCTGTCAAGAGCTCAGGGCCCTCTTTTCCGCAGGCCAGTCTGGCACTTAGTTACCCTGGTTTCTTGCTTCTCAGACCAAGTGTTTTCGTTTGCCTCCATCAAGCCCATCCTGATTCTCTAACCAGGGCCTTTCTTTTTGGGATAGTCTCTTGTAGTCCAGGAATTTCTCCTTTTGGATTTTCCTGTGAGCTTTGGGATTCAAACAGAGGGTGGCAGAGATGGGGTGTGAGTTATGGTGCACAAACGGCCCCCCATCCTGTGTCCCCTTCTGGAGAGGTATCGGGGGTTAGAGGGGGGAATCTGACATCTCATGGGCTGGGTGATCTTCCCCCAGCTTTCAGTACCCTCTTATGTCCGTCTTTTCTCCTGGAAGGTGATTTCAGCTCGTCATGTCTTGGATCTACAAACCACTGTTTCCCAACTTTTTCACTTTTAGGAAATATCATTGTTGTCCTTTATGAGTATGCAGAGCCCCCAGGCCCTGACTCCTTCATTAGGCAAACCTAGGGTGGAGGTGACAGACACTGGCCTCTGACTGGCACATCCTCGTGAGCTTGAGGCGCCTGCCGCAGTGCACGCAATCAGCTAAAGTGGAGGCCACAGGCCTCCCGCACACCGCACACCGCACACTGCACACAGCGGGCCTCAGTGGGCCGGCCTTCTCTCCCACTCCTCCTCCAGATCGGGGCTCTGGCCACTTTTGCGGAGGCTTCATGGCAGTGCCTGAGAGGACACAGAGCCCTCTCAGGGCACTGGCACTGGAGGATGTGTGTGAGGGGGGTGGACGGGGAGGGGTGCACAGGAGGCCTGGTCTAAAACCTGGCCATGCTCCCCACCAGGTCTTGTGGCTTCTAGCACGTTGACACTTAACCCTGAGTCTCAAACTAGTTAACTGTAAAATGGGGATGATACCGCCCACTCTGCAGAGCTCTGGGGCTTGAAGAAGCTGAGGGAGGGTTTGGCAGGTGGAGGATTCTCACCATACCTGGTGACCCCTTAACAGTTTCGGTTTAGGTCTTTGCCTCCATGCAAGGGCCTGTGGGGTGCGCCTGGCCGTTTGTTTCTGTAGAACCCTGCACAATTCGTGGTTTCATGTAGAAACAAGTTAGTGAGCAAAGTCAGTCGGTAACCACAGGCCGCAGAGTTCCGGGCTGCTCCGTGCTCTGAAACACGGGGGAGGGGTTGATGTCAGGGGCGTGGGTCCTGATCACATGGCAGCTGCTGTTCTAGGGGAAGTCAGCTACCCAGCAGCCCTTAGGCCTCAGCTACCCACCCTCACCACCTGGGGTCCCACGGTGAGAGAGGTGAGTGGGTAACTGAGCTTTCTGCAGAGGGCCGGGCTGTAGGAATCGGGGGTAGGAAGTGGGGCTGGCTCCTGGTGGAATCCAGGCCTCAGACCTGATTGCTGCCGAAAGTGGCCCTGTGCACTGGAGCCCCTGGTCTTCTGCGTCTCTTCTCCTCCTGGCCAGACTTTGCTTCTGGCTCAGCCACAGGTATTTGCTACTGAAGAGCTGTTCCTCCCTCCCCTCGGTGGGTCTGGGTCCACCTTCACCTCCTCTTCAGGTCGCGCGCCTTCCTCCCCTCTAAAACAACCAGGCGCAGACCGATTTTAGGCTTTTCCATGGTGCTACCGCCCAAGCTTGCGACTGAGTCCTTCCCGCCTAGGGCTGGTGGGCCTACCCCGTCCCTGCTGGCAGGTCTCTCTTTGCTTTCTTTACTCAGAACTAACGCTCTCCTTCCCCACTCACAAAGGAAAAACAAGGGGAGAAGCCACAGCTGGCCCTGGCCTGCTTTGGCACAGGTGTTTCCCCCGGCCCCGCGTCGGGCACCCTGGTTCCTGTTCTGTCCCTGCCCGACGCGCCCCCACCCAGTTTCCTCCGCCTCCCATAGGTTGGGGTTGGGGGACCGGCTCCAGCCCTCGGCCTGGGGTTTGGTGAACGCCTTTCCTGGGCTGCGGACCCACTTAAAGCGCGGCTCCGGGCTGGGGCAGCGGCGCTGGGGGGCCGAGGGCGGGGTCGGACGTCCACCCTCAGGGTCGCGCCGGGGAGCAGGGAAGCCGCCTCCCGAAGTTGGGGGCTCGGGGAAACTTGGGCCCTCGGAACGACGGCGTTGACTGAGAAGAGGCGGCCCAGGAGGAAGGGGGGCGGGCGGCGAATGCCGGCCGGGAGAGCTGGGCGCGGAGGGCCGCCGGTCCCGCCCCCCAGTCCGCCCCGCCCCGCTTGCCGGGGAAGGGCCACGTTGCCCGCCCGGCCGTCCGGCCCCGGCGCGCCGCTGGAAGGGCCGGCGAAGCTAAAGGCGAGGCAGCCGCGGCAGCGCCTGGGACGCGCCCGGGCACCCGCTCGCTCCCTGCGCCCCGGGGCGGGCCAAGTTCGGGGCAGGGACGTTGGGCGGACGTCGTGAGTAGGGGTCCGCAGGCGGAGGTCCGACCCGGGGAGGGCTCGCGGGGGTGGAGAGGGAGCCCCAGGGACGTCGGGTCGCCCGAAAGCCCCGGTGCCCGGGAGTGCTAGCGAGAGGGGACTTGGCTCGGGAGCGGCCCGGCCCGGGCCGAGCCGGGAGGTTGGAACTCCGCGTTCTGCTTTCGGAATCCCGGGCGGCCCCAGCTGTTCGAGGGAGGGCGGGCTCCGCGGAGTGGGGAGGATGTTGTGAAACTCGGCCCAGGGCGTTTCCGTGGGTGTGGGGCAGGGAGGGGGTGGGGTGGGGGAGTGGCCTTTTCCCCTAACCTCACCCCAGCATCCTTTCCCCAAGTTAAGAGAGGTTGATTCTCCTCAGCCGAAAGAAAATTGACTCAATGTTGAAATACATATGTAATACATTGGCAAGAAAACTTTTCTTCCTACCTGTTTGCTAATGTGTGGAGAAGAGAGCCCTGGGACCCGCAGCGCCCGCATCTGATCAACTCGAGTAGAGAGACTGGCTGGCCGGCTCTTCCTCCCCCAAGGCTGAAGCTTCACTTTGGTTAACTCTTGCTGCTGTAGTAGGTCTGTTTGTTTTAGAACATCACTGGCTGAGATGTTATCCAGCTTTATTTTCAGTCATTTATAATATTTTCCAGGCCATGTAGACTTTGCTCTTACATGCTCACATCATCCAGGGCTGCCTTTCTTCAGAAATCACTGCGTCCTGATCCTTCCCAATTCTGGGGACCATTGAGCTCACGCGTACCCCTGCTTCTGTGTCTTATTCTCACAGTTAGAAGCACTGCAGTATGTCTGACCTCAGTGTCCTGTGTAACAAGGTAAACTCGGTACTTGTTCGAGGCATTAGAGAAATTGTCACTAACCCATCCAGGCACTGGGACCTTGTGATGAACCACATCAACCCTGTCACATTATAGATGAAGGAACTAAGGCACAGGTGAGTCAAGTGACTTGTCCAAAGTTGCCTGGCTGGTTGACTGGATTGTCTGAATCCCAGGCCTCATACCTTTTGTGGCACTTGTATTTCCCTTTGACCCTTTTTTTCTGGGATAAATAACCTGCATCCCTTGCCTCCTAGGTCTTATTCTCTAAACCCTTGAATTATTTAGTGTATCTTCTCTGACTACCTTTCTGTTCTTCCATCCTGAAATTACGGGCCTGATACATGATACAGGAGTCCAGCCGAGGGCTAAGAATGAACAAGAAAGTAGTTCAGTTAGATTTCCATTATCTGTGACATATCTGTATTTTCTGGATTTTTTAGGTTGTGCTTTTTAACGTTAAGCAAAGCAGAGATAGAAGGGAAAATCTGTTACCATTTCTTCCACTTCTATACTTAATTTTAAAGCTAAATATAACTTTTTTCTTATTGCTCATGATTGGAAGTTGACTATTTGGTGTTCACTTGCTGTTTAAGAAACATTTTTGCCAGAGAAAGGAACTAGGCTGGAGAATACCATGGAATCAGAGTATTAGAAAGGATCTCATAGGTCCTAGGCAGTCCTTCAAATGATTCAGAAACTGAGTGAGCCCAGCACGGGTAGGTAAGACCTGCTCAGAGCCACCTGGGTTTTGGCTGAAAGTTTTTGTACTGAAAAGACTCACTCCTCATGCCCCACCATGGTCCAGATGTCTTTGTATTTGGTGGTGTGGATTGGCTGTGTCACTTCCCTAAAGGAGTTGTGAAAATTCCAAAAAGTCAAACCCAATTTTGAGTCTGCGCCTTGCATGCCAGTCTCATAAATGACATCATTAGGAACTCAGGTCAGGATTAAGGACAGTTCTATTTAAAAAGGAAGGTGTAACAGATGATTGTATTTTCCCCGAAGGTTCTCACCCGTAAGTATCCCCTTCCACATGTAGTTACAGTTTGACATTGTCCACTTCCCACCCAGTGGTGGGGTTTGTGATATCCTCCCCTTGAATGTGAGCAGGGACTTGTTTCCTTGACCAGTGAGTAAGACAAACCTTATCCAAGGCTGAATCAGGGAAAGGATACACCTTCGCCTGGCTTGGTTGCTTTCTTGGGACACTCACCTTTGGAATGTAGCCACCACTTCCAGGACATTTCCAGGCCACATAGAGGGGTTCTAGCGAGCACTCCTGCCAGTAATGCCAACATCACCCTACAGACCTGTGAGAGAATGTGATACCCTCTAGGGGAGTGTAGCCCTCAGCTTTTGAGCCTTTCAGCAAGGCCTCAGGTATGGTAGAGCAGAGACAGGCCATCCCCTTGTGCTACACTGTCCAAATTTCTGACCGATAGAAACCGTGACAGGGAGTATATGATAACTATTGTTTTAAGCCACTAATTATTGGGGTAATTCATTATGCAGGAATATATACTTAACAAGAAAGGGGATGTGAGTGGAGACAGGGCCTCAGTATTTGGACTTGGGGCTGAGCACAGAGGGCAGGGAGGACACTTGTCCTGATTGTCAAGACTATCTAGATTCTGTTTTTCTCATTGTTTCAGGTGCTGGTGGCTCCATAATGAATCACCCCAGAACTTAGTGGCTTACAACAACAGACTCATTAACATCTCAGCTATGTGGTTCTGGCTTGTGGTCTTTCACGTGGTTGCAGTCAGGTATGGCTGGGGCTGGGATAATCTGGAAGGCCGTCTCCTATGTCTAGTGGTTGATGCTGGCCGTCAGCTGGGACCTTAGCTGGTGTTGTCAGCTGGAATACCTATGGGTGTCCTGTCCGTGTAGCAGGGTTCTAGGAGTAAGCATCTTAAGAGGCCCAGGTGGAAACTACAGCTTTTTATGAGTTAATCTTAAAAGTCACATAGTGTCACTTCTTCCCAGAACCAAAGGGAGGGAATATAAGCCCTCACCTCGGGAGGCAAGAGTGTCTTTGTCACTTGTAAGAAGAGCATATGGAATGGGATGTGTGCAGTCGTCTTTGGAAAATAGAACCCTTCACTCTCTTACTGCTGCTTTGGCCATCTTTCTTCCTGATTTACGTAGTAGTGCAAGCAGTCTTCCGTCTAGCCGTCTGAACCTCATACATGTGCCAAGCACTGTGATGGGCACAGAGGTCATAGTCTTTTTTCCTAAGGAGGAAGGTAGGAGTCAGGTAAGTACGGCCACAGATCCTGTTGCAGCGTGGAGAGAGTGCTTTGGGAGTGTAGCCCAGCTCTGTCATGTGACAAAAGGAGTCACCTGAAGTGGCTTGAAAGGATGTGTGGGTGGCTGGCTGGCAGGTGGTGCGATGGGTCTTGTTTCAGGATGAGGGACCAGCTGGAGCAAAGACACAGCAGTGTCCAAGGGTACTCATTGGGGAAGAAGCAGCCTACTGAGGCCAGAGTGCAGGGTTCATGGGGTTAGTGGAAAAGCAGCCTACTGAGGCCAGAGTGCGGGGTTCATGGGGTTAGTGGAAAAGCAGCTTACTGAGGCCAGAGTGCGGGGTTCATGGGGTTAGTGGAAAAGCAGCCTACTGAGGCCAGAGTGCGGGGTTCATGGGGTTAGTGGAAAAGCAGCCTACTGAGGCCAGAGTGCAGGGTTCATGGGGTTAGTGGAAAAGCAGCCTACTGAGGCCAGAGTGCAGGGTTCATGGGGTTAGTGGAAAAGCAGCCTACTGAGGCCAGAGTGCGGGGTTCATGGGGTTAGTGGTTGGAGGTAAGGTTGAAAAGGATATTTGAGCCAGTCTGTATGAAGGGCTTTGTATGTCATAATAATGAGCTTGAGTTTTGTTTTACGGGGATTGCAGCCTCTGATGGTTTTTAAGGCAAGTTAGTGTCATGACCAGGCGCGCTCGTCAGGAGGGATGTGCTGTTGCTGTTGGGTAGGTTTGTGAGAGGGAAGCAAGATTAGCGACAGACCTGCTGGGAAACTACATCAGGAGTCAAACTTAAAACAGTATTTCATACGAAGAAATGAGTTCAGGTTGAAGTTCTTGGGCCTAGATGTGTTTCAGAATTCAGAATTTTTTGGATTTTGAAAAGATGATCTGGTGAATTTACTCTGTGGTGGAAGATCAGAAGCGGAACAGCATAAGCCACCATGTTTATTTCTGTAGCAAAATGTATGAATAGCCACAGCAGGAGAGATAAAAGACTATAAATAGCCTCACATTAGATCAGATCAGATTTTACCAAATGAGGCTGGGTGAGGTTTTACTGCCAACTGAGTTTAGAAACTTCTGTTTTTTAGTGCTACTTGGATTTGGCAGTTGCAGTTGAGGAACTGCGGATGTTTTCAGATCCCAGGCACATCTGAATATTGAGGGCACTAGCACAGCAGCTTGGCAGTGCTGGTGGAGCCAATCCCTGACTTCATGTAGCTTGTAGCTGAGGGGGTCTGATAGAAGTTGAGTAAGTGGTTGCACTTGCTACTGTTGGTGAAAGGTAGGTGGACCTCGCATGGTCCCAGATATCAAGGAAGATACCTTGGCAGAGACAAAAATCAGAGTGTGCCAGGTGAGAAGATAGGGAAGAGCAGACCTGGCACACGGGCACATGCAGAGACCCCAACGGCAGGGTTGGCTGTTTTGGGACCAGACGGCAATGTGGTCGAGTGGAACAAAGAGAATGGGGAGAAAGGAGTGAAGTGACTGGCTAATATTTACATAGTCAAGCTGGGCACTGTTCTAAACACCTAACATGGCTTATCTCATCCAGTCTTCACAGCAACCCAGTTTGAGTCTCAGAAGTGTGACCAAATGTAGGGTAATGCCTCTGAGCTATCTGGCTTGCCTTTGTTGCTGCTGCACCCTCCTGATGGTGGCCTTAGCAGGCCTGAGCAGGGCTTCCTGGAGGAGCAGGTCACTGCTGCTGGCCAGGGACTGGGCTTGATCATCCTTTGGGCACAGCCAGCTGGGAGAGGGTGTATGGCTTGTGGTGCATGTGTGTGCACACAGCACTAACTTCCAGGCAGAGCTGAGGATCCTGTCCTAAGAATTACATGAACAAACAGTAGGAAAATAGCTGGGGCCCAGGACGAGCCTATGTGAAGAAGCAGGTGAGCTGGGAATAGGGATGTCATGTAATCTTATGGCAAGAGGAGCAAGTTTGAAGCGCAGGGCTGTGGGGTGGAGAACAAGGGTCTGAGGACTAAGGCGGAGGCCGTGGCTGGACGGGGGCAGCTTTTCCTGTGGCCTCTCCACCCACTCTTGATGTGTGCAGACTTACTAAGTAAAGACCCAGTCAGAAGATTGTTTTTATTAGGATGGCGCAGGAGGTCTTAAGCCTCAGGTAGTGGGTGCGGGCCACCAAATTCTAATGTGTAGAGAAGAGTAAAAAGCCATCTAAAGGGTGCAGAAGTCATCTGAAGAGTCCCTGCCTTCTTTTTTTTTTCTTTCGAGATAGAGTCTTGCCCTGTAATCCAGGCTGGAGGACAGTGGCGCCATCTCAGCTTACTGCAGCCTCCGCCTCCTGGGTTCAAGGCATTCTCCTGTTGCAGCCTCCCGAGTAGCTGGGATTACAGGCGCACACCACCACACCTGGCCAATTTTTGTATTTTTTAGTAGAGGGGGTTTTGCCATGTTGGCCGGCTCCTGACCTCATGTGATCCGCCTACTTCAGCCTCCCAAAGTGCTGGGATTACAAGCTTGAGCCACCTTGCTCAGCCTGGCCCTGCCCTTCTAGCACTTCAGTGAATAGAGTTCAGTCCCTCTTCCCTTTCCCCATCCGATTATATAAGTCTTTTTCTTGCACAGTCATTTAGGAGGCCGGAAGTTGGGAGGCAGGGAATTCTGGCCATGAGACTGGGGGTAAGTTCCAGCATGGACAACATCCTGAGGGGACAGTGAAGAAAGAAACTGACAGTGCTGGGTGCAATGGCTCACACCTGTAATCCCAACACTTTGGGAGCCTGAGGAGGGTAGATCACTTGAGGTCAGGAGTTCGAGACCAGCCTGGCCAACATGGTGAAACTCCGTCTCTATTAAAAATACAGAAATTAGCTGGGCGTGGTGACAGGTGCCTGTAATCCCAGCTACTCAGAAGGCTGAGGCAGGAGAGTCGCTTGAACCTGGGAGGCAGAGGTTGCAGTGACTTGAGATCATGCCACTGTACTCCAGCCTGGGTGACAGAGCAAGACTGTCTCAAAAAAAGAAAAGAAAGAAAACTTAAACTATTCTGTGCATCACTCTTTTCTTCCACATAAAATTTCTTAAAAATAAAATATGGGAATATGGCCCACCACTCTGAGTAGCTTCCTCCATCAATATGTCCCCAGCTGGGCACAGCAGTAAGGCTAACTGAAATGATGTTTACCCTGAATTCCTTAGTCACTTGATGACATGTATCTATTGATATATAGCATATGAGCCCTGATAAAATACGAATTTAATTGCACAGTTACGTGGAAATGGACTTGAGGTTTCTGAAAAGACTGATGTCCTGGAGTGGTGGGGGTGGTTGGTTTCTAGGAAGAAGACGAGTTGTGGTGGATGCTGGCAGGGGCTGTGGGAGTTTCCCCAGAAGGGAGACAGAATCCAGGCCCCTTGAGAAGCCCTTCAGGATCAGCCCTTTTGTAGGGCACGTTGGGAGCCAGATGTAGGGCTGAGGGCCCCACAGGGTCATGAGGTGAGCCTTATGCTGTGCTGAGGCGCAGGATCCGAGAAATAGAGAGACAGGACACAGAAGTACAAAGAAAACGCAGCTGGGCTCGGGGGGCCACGTCACCTATGAGCGGAGTCAGGCGAGGCCCCGAATGTCCAGAAGCCTGAGTATTTATTGTGTATAGGTTAGGGGGCAGGGCAGCGAGTGAAATCATCTTTAAGGATAGTGATAGCGTCGTGAGCAATAAAACATGAGGTCCACCTCCATTAGGTCACCAAGGCCAGGAGGTGGACAGTGCGTAGCAAGGGGCCCGTTCCCATGAAGGCAAGGGCCGTGTGCAGTAAGGGGTCCACCCCCATTAGGTCACCGAGGCTTGAAGGTGGGCCATGCGCAGTGAAGAGGGTGCAGTGTGCAATACTTCTGTCTATGGGAAAACGACTTCTAAGAAGATTTATAGGAGAATGCTTTAAGTCACATAGCAGTGACAGAGCTGTCAAGGTTACCGCCACCTTCTGGCAGCTTCCAGTGGATTCTATGGGAAGATGCTTTTCGAGCAGCACAGTAGCAAGAGCTGATAAAGTTCACAGTCACCAAGGTGGATTGCCGTTCTGAGGGCAGCCTTCCACAGGAACTGGAGCAAAGTCCTACAACTCCTTTATCAGGAGGAGTGGCTCTCGCCCCAAGCCTGCCATACAGCGGGTGTCTTTACGATACTGAACGCTGCCGCCTGGGCCATGGATTCCTCTTGTCCAGGTATAACTGTTTGTCCCTTAAATCATGCTCTGCACTGTGTCTGCTCTAGGCATTCCTCTGATTATAAGCTGCTTATCCCTTAATTCATACTCTGTACTGTGTCCATTCTAGGCATTCCTCTGATTTATGAACTAAGATGTAATTATAGGTATATATGTAGGGAAGTATTCTTTAGGCACTCATGCTGTCAACTATTAATCATTATATATAGAGGATTATATAAAGGGATTCTTCAAGCCCTAGTTCAATAAACTAATATATGACTATGTAAAGGATTATATAAAAGGAAATAGCTGAGTAGTAACACTATAAAGTGAGATATTCCTCAAGCCCTAACTGTGCCAGGGTTCTGCTTAGCTCTCATTCCTCGGTGCCTATATGGGGGGTTACCCACACCTTTTATGCCAGATCCACTGGCTTGAGAGCCCAGGGCCTCAGATTAGATCTGAGGCCCAAGGTTTTGGCTAGGATTAGAGAGAGGGCTGTGAGGTAGAGGGCAACTGGCAGAGCTGTTGGTGTAAGAGGGGACATGCCTGAAGCTTTGGGGTTTGAAGGGTAGACCAGAGGCAGGACAGTCAAGTAGTTATGGTCTGGAATGGCAGCTGGCTGGGAACTGGGGAGTGTTTCAGATCCTTTTAAGTAATGTGGTGGGGCCATGCCTTTTTCTCATTGGTTCGTGTCCTGGTTCCTTTCCAGAGCCTGGCAGAGAGCAGGTATATGATACATGTCCTCAAGTGACTAACTGAAAAATTCAGAGCAAACAGATCATTTGAATTTGCCTTGCTGATGTGGCCCAGACACTGATGGATGAAGCTATTTAGAGCTGTGGGCAATGTCTGCATATGTGATTGTCAAGAAACTTGACCATCATGTGGAAATAGCTTCAAACTTATACAGGTTGCAAGAATAAAAAATAAAATAAGGGTGGGTGCTTGTACATTTCTACTCAGATTCACCTGTTGTTAATATTTTGCCCCATTTGCTTTCTCTCTATGTATGCAGTATATTTTTTGTTTTGAACCATTTGAAAAGTTGCATCTATCCTGGCTGTCTACCTCTAAATTCTGCAGTGTGTATTACCTAAGAATTGGAGTCAGTCAGTTATCACTGATACTTTAAACTACTGTCTGTATTCTAACTTTGCCATTTTACCCAATAATGTCTTTTAAAAAGTCTTTTGAGGTTTCCTTGGCATACAATTGACATAAATATATTCAGTAAACTGCACATAAAGTGTACAATTTGATAAGTTTTGACATATACATACTTGTACAAGTATCACCACAATCAAGATAATAAACAGATCCACCCTTCCAGAAGTTTGCTAATGCCCCTTTGCAGTAACTACCCCACTGCCTCTTTCCCCAGGCAAAAACTGATCTGCTTTCTGTAATATAGATTGGTTTCTATTTTCTGCAGTTTTATGTCAATAGAATCATAGTGTATGTGCTCCTTTTGGTTTTTCTCAAAAAGACCCATGTTGTGTAATTGTTTGGAAATTCAGTCATGTGTTATGTATGTCAGTGGTTTATTCAGTTTTATCGCTGAATATTATTCCATTCTATGAGTAAACCACAATTTGTTTACCTATATTTCCCTATCGATGGGCCTTTGGGTTATTTCCAGTTTTGAGTAGTTACGAATAAAGTTACTATAAACTTAATTCCTGTGTAGGTTTTTGTATGGACATGGCTGAAAGTAGAAAGGAAATGGAGCATGCATAAAGGGGCATGCAGGAGAGACTGGGCTTGGTTATAACAGCCTGTTATCCCTGGGGAACTAGCCCACCCACCAGAGGGCATTTTGAGGGATCTGCCCCCCACAACCCATCCAAACACCTACCACTAGGCCCCACCTCCAACACCACCACACTGGGGTTCAAATTTCAACATGCGTTTCAGAAGACAAACCATATTCAAGCTATAGCAGAGCTGCGTGATTATTATAACACTATTAGTAAAACCATCTTTGCCTTGGGAATTTTCAGTAGCACCTTTATTACATATTAGATTTCTTTGTGTAATGAGTCTGTTTCTGGAGTTAAAATTCTATTTCATTGGATGGTCTGTTTATTTATGTACTGGTACCACACAGTTGTAACTATGGTAGTTTTGTAGCATGCAGTGTGTGTGTGAGTGTATATATATGTATGTGTGTGTGTGTGTGTATATATATATGTATGTGTGTGTATATATATATATATATATATATATATGTATAATTATTTATTTATTTGTTTTGTTTGAGACAGAATCTCATTCTCTTGCCCAGGCTGGAGTGCAGTGGCACAGTCCAATCACAGCTCACTACAGTCTCAGCCTCCCAGACTTGGGTGATCCCACCTCAGCCTCCCAAGCAGCTGGCACCACAGGTGCTTGCCACCTGCCCAGCTAATTGGTGGTGGTGGTTGTTGTTGATTATTACTTGTAGAGACAGGGTCTCCCTATGCTGCCTAGGCTAGTCTTGAACTCCCGGGCTCAAGTGATCCTCCTGTGTTGACCTCCCAAAGCGCTGGGATTGCAGGTGTGAGCTACTGTACCCTGCCAGTATGCAGTATGTTAATATCTGGTTGGGCTAAGTCCCTCCTCACAGCTTATTTTTATATTTTCCTAGTTTTATTGTCAGTTTGTCTGGCTCCAAAAATAGGTATTTTTATTGGGATTTTTGATGATACCGAGATGTCTTGACCAATTTACAAGGGATGTTCAGATGTTCTTTTGTGTCTTTCAGTAATGATAGCTTTGTTCATATAGGTTTTGAACGTTCGTTTAAGTTTATTTCTAAGTGTTTTCCCATTTCTGTGGCTTTTGTAAGAAGGGTTTTCTCATGAGCTGTTTGTGGATACGAAGGTTATCCATTCGTGTGTGTTGATTTTTATATTCCACTACCTTGCTCAGTTCATTGAGAGTTTGGTTTAGTTTTTTATTGATTCTGGAGTTTTCAGGTGAATTCTCACAAGTACAGATAATAGAAATAGTTTGCTTCTTGTCCACGTCTCCTGTTAGTTTTTTTTTTTTTTTTTTTTTTTGGTTCATTTGCATCGCCCGCTCCCTCCAGCAGAATGTTGAATAAACCTGGAGATCGTGAGCAGCTTCGTTTTGTGCGTGACATTCATGGGGGCCTTGGATGCTTCCCTGTTAGGTAAGGGACTTAATTGTAGCACTGAGGTGTGATACTTGGTTTTAAAAATCAGTCATCTTAGGGCAGTTAGGTTAGAGGAATTGTAGGCAGATGCTCGTACTGCTCCCCTCCTCCTTCCCACCTAGAGGGAAATGAAATCTGACAGGTAGAAAAGGAGGAGGGAGCTGGAGTTCTTTTCTGTCCCCTTCCACCGGCATCACCTTGTACCTCCCCATCATACATATGTTGCTGAGTCAGCGTGTATGTTGACTACCTCTGGAGTCAACCTCCTGGCCTGCCTTCAGCCTCACTCTCGGCCTTTCCCTGCCCCCACCTTCCTCTCCCTGTGGGGTGCAGAGCGGCATGCCTTTGTGTGATGGTTTGTTCTCTCTTTCCTGTCTTCAGGTGCATGGCTGCTTCCTAATCCCATAGTCCAGAGGAAGCATCCTTAGGACTGCGGGCAAGGGAGCCAGGCAAGCCCAGGGCAGCCTTGAGCCCTCCCCTTGTCTGCCCTCCCCCGTGGGGGCCAGGATGCTGAAGAAGCAGTCTGCAGGGCTTGTGCTGTGGGGCGCTATCCTCTTTGTGGCGTGGAATGCCCTGCTGCTCCTTTTCTTCTGGACACGCCCGGCACCTGGCAGGCCACCTTCAGTCAGTGCTCTCGATGACGACCCTGCCGGCCTCACCCGTGAAGTGATTCGCCTGGCCCAAGACGCCGAGGTGGAGCTGGAGCGGCAGCGTGGGCTGCTGCAGCAGATCGGGGACGCCCTGTGGAGCCAGCGGTGGAGGGTGCCCACAGCGGCCCCTCCCGCCCAGCCGCGTGCGCCTGTGACCCCCGCGCCAGCTGTGATTCCCATCCTGGTCATTGCCTGTGACCGCAGCACTGTCCGGCGCTGCCTGGACAAGCTGCTGCATTACCGGCCCTCAGCTGAGCTCTTCCCCATCATCGTTAGCCAGGACTGTGGGCACGAGGAGACGGCCCAGGCCATCGCCTCCTATGGCAGTGCGGTCACGCACATCCGGCAGCCCGACCTGAGCAACATCGCCGTGCCGCCCGACCACCGCAAGTTCCAGGGCTACTACAAGATCGCGCGGCACTACCGCTGGGCGCTGGGCCAGGTCTTCCACCAGTTCCACTTCCCCGCAGCCGTGGTGGTGGAGGATGACCTGGAGGTGGCACCGGACTTCTTTGAGTACTTCCAGGCCACCTATCCGCTGCTGAAGGCCGACCCCTCGCTCTGGTGCGTTTCGGCCTGGAACGACAACGGCAAGGAGCAGATGGTGGACTCCAGCAAGCCGGAGCTGCTCTACCGCACCGACTTCTTTCCTGGCCTGGGCTGGCTGCTGTTGGCCGAGCTCTGGGCTGAGCTGGAGCCCAAGTGGCCCAAGGCCTTCTGGGATGACTGGATGCGCCGGCCGGAGCAGCGGAAGGGGCGGGCCTGCATACGCCCTGAAATCTCAAGAACGATGACCTTTGGCCGCAAGGGCGTGAGCCACGGGCAGTTCTTTGACCAGCACCTCAAGTTCATCAAGCTGAACCAGCAGTTTGTGCACTTTACCCAGCTGGACCTGTCGTACCTGCAGCGGGAGGCCTATGACCGGGATTTCCTTGCCCGAGTCTATGGGGCTCCCCAGCTGCAGGTGGAAAAAGTGAGGACCAATGATCGGAAGGAACTTGGGGAGGTGCGGGTGCAGTATACGGGCAGGGACAGCTTCAAGGCCTTTGCCAAGGCTCTGGGTGTCATGGATGACCTCAAGTCAGGGGTTCCCAGGGCTGGCTACCGGGGTATCGTCACGTTCCAGTTCCGGGGCCGCCGTGTCCACCTGGCGCCCCCGCAGACATGGGAGGGCTATGATCCTAGCTGGAATTAGCACCTGCCTGTCCGTCCTGGGCCCCTCCCTGTCACATCATGAGCTGAGGTGGAGCCACAGTCCCCAGGCTGCATCGGCCTGCCTGTGTTTCCCTCTTAGGTGCATTTACGTTTTTGAGTTTTCCGAGTGGCATTTGAGTGCACAGATGATAAGGTGAGGATTATTCTCCCGTTCTCAAGGGAGTCAGATCAGGGGACCCATTCTGGGGTGTGTTGGGGGGTATTAAGCAGGAAACCACTGTATGGTAGGGGGACGCTGGGCTTGTTTGAGCCAGAAATGTCCATGACCTGAGCTTTCTCCTGGAGCATGTGCAGAGTTTGACCAGAGTTTGACGGTGTTCGCTCTCTTGACCAGACACCTTCTCCCTGACCTGGCTCTTCTAGCCAAGGCACGAGTCCTCCTTCCATACCTGCTCCCCTTCCCCCGTTGGGGGGCTGGGTTATGGGAGAAGGGGACATATTTGTGGCCAAAATGATACTGACCAAAGGGACTTCCTTGTCAGGGCCTGGTGGAGTTGGTGGGTCATCAGGGCTCACTGCCTCCTGCCCTCCTCCCCTGGCTCTGACCCCCACTTAGCCCTTCTCTCTCTGCAGCCTGGCAGTTGATGGTTCTGAGAGGGATAGTTGAAGGAGGCAAGCAAGACCGCGCCTCAGCCCCCGCCCAGCCGTCAGGGGAGAGGTGCAGGGAGGAAGGTCTTGGTGCTGGGACAGCCCCTCTCGTGCATTGCCTCAGAGAGGGACTGTGTCCTGACGTCTCCTTTCTGAAAATCAGTCCACTCCCTGCTGCTCTAGGAGGCTCCTGCTGGCTTGGTAGGAGAGAGAATTCAATCTGTGTATCCTTTTTTTCCTTGGGGTTTGGCACACAGGCCCCTCCCTGCAGGCTGTGGCTCCTGTGGCTCCCTCAGCATGAGGTGGAGCAGTGACCGGGTGGAGCAGTGACCGGGCTGCTTCTGGCCCAGTGCTGCCCAGCCTCCCTACCCGTTCCCAGGCGCCTCATGTCCTCACAGACCAGGACACCGTGGCAGGGTGGAGAGGACTTGGTGTGTGTTCGTTTCTTGCTTGACCTCAGTTTCATGAAAGAAAAGTGGAAGCTACAGAATTATTTTCTAAAATAAAGTAAAGGCTGAATTGTCTGAAAAATCTTTCTGTGTGTGTGTCCTGGAAAAGGAGGTGATAGACGGGGAAAGAAATGAAAGGGGAGAATGAGGAGTGAAGGAGAGGGCCAGACGGAGGAAGTGAATGAAGTTCAGGAAGGAAAGCGATGACTGGGAGAGAAGAGCCAGGGGCGCCGAGGGGACGGGGGCCAGGCGGGAAAGGAAGTCCAGGCCAGAAGGTGGAGAGGCACCCAGGCTGTGCTCCTGCTGACCATGCTGCAGAGCCAGAGGGCGCAGCAGGAAGGCTGGCAAGTGTCTCCTGCTTCTGTGTCCTGCTGGCTGGGCAGGTCTGGTGTGGGGAAGACCCAGGGCCTCTCTTCAGGGTGGTCCCTGAGTGATGCTTTGTGCCTGGTACTCTGCTGGCCCAGGCAGTGCTTACTGAGCGCCCTTTATGACCTGCCGGGGAGCCTCAGGGTGTGCAGCTGATAACCAGGGCTGGTCCCACAGTGGCACTTGGACTCCGAAATGCAGCCCCAGTGAGAGTGCCTGTTGTGCTAATACCCAGAACACATACATACACAGACGCAACTGTTAACTCTGCATTTCACTTGCAACATTCTGAGTCTCTGTTCTCCACTAATTCATTTAAAAGAACAAAACGCAGCTGGGTGCGGTGGTTCACACCTGTAATTCTAGCACTTGTGGAGGCCAAGGCAGGCAGATCATGAGGTCAGGAGTTCGAGACTAGCCTGGCCAACACGGTGAAACCCTGTCTCTACTAAGAATAGAAAAGTTAGTTGGGTCTGGTGGCGTGCACCTGTAGTCCCAGCTACTCCAGAGGCTGAGGCAGGAGAATCACTTGAACCTGGGAGGCGGAGGTTGCAGTGAGTCAAGATCACACCTCTGCAGTCCAGCCTGGGGTGGACAAGACTCCGTCTCTGAAAAACAAAATGCTTCTTGTGACCCACCAACTTGATTTCATGAGTGGGTTTGAAAACCCTGGGCTAGGCTGGGAGGCGGAGGTTGCAGTGAGTCAAGATCACAACTCTGCAGTCCAGCCTGGGGTGGACCAGACTCCGTCTTGGAAAAACTACAAAATGCTTCTTGTGACCCATCAATTAGATTTCATGAGTGGCTTTGAAAACCCTGGGCTAAGCCGGGTGCGGTGGTTTACGCCTGTAATCCCGGCACTTTGGGAGGCTGATCACCTAAGGTCAGAAGTTTGAGACCTGCTTGGCTAAGGTGGTGAAACCCCATTTCTAAAAATACAAAAAGGTATGGTGGCACATGCTTGTAATCCCAGCTACTCAGGAGGCTGAGGCAGAATCACTTGAACATGGAAGGGGGAGGTTGCGGTGAGCTGAGATCATGCCACTGCACTCTAGCCAGGGTGACCAGCAAAACTCCATCTCAGAAAAAGGAAAAAAAAAAAAACACACACACACACACACACAAAAACCTGTGCTAGGCAACTTTCTTGGCAGAAACTACTTTGGAGCTCCACACCAGATGGTGGCAGAGGTGTCTGGGGAGCTGTGTTGAGGGCCATGGCTCTGGGAGCAGCTCCAGCCTCCCTCCTGGGCTCAGAAACCGGTGTCAGACATTCACTTTATTTTAACCTTTGAGATTTGAGTGGGTTTTGCTTTCCCCTGTTGCTTAGATGGATTATTTAGCCTTACCTTTGTGTTAAATAAGGGGAGATGGTCATTATCTGTGATGTGCAGATGAGGAATAGGCCGGGAGATGGCTGCATTCTGCCCCTCCCAGTGAAGCCAGGAGGAGTCTGGCTGTCCTTAGCACTTAATGCAGCTAACCAAGTGTGCCGTTCTGAGTGCCCATGATGAATACGAACTTCTTACTCCTCAGAGCAAGCCCAGGTGGTGAGTACTGCTCTGCTCCTGTTTTACCAGTGAGGAAGCAGGCACAGAGAAGTTAACCTGTGGTGATACCCAGATTATTAGCATACAGATGGTTGGGGCGGAGCCAGATTGGAATGGACTCCATGCTGTTAGCCACCGTGCGATGCTGGATTGGTCCATTCCAGCCCTTTCAGGCCTCTTCCCAGCTGCACATGGATTCTCAGGCCAGGCTTCAGTGGTCTCCTGTGAGGGTGGTGAGGGGGCTGGGTGACTGGGGGAGGTCCAGGAGAGATGTGGGAGGAGTACAGCTTGGGGTCCTCGGGGCCAGAGGACACCCTTACAGGACAGACTGAGTTCTTGGGCTCCTCAGGGGTCTCCTAGTATTCACCTGTCAAGCTTGCTCGGGTGGTGTGCGTGTGTGCATAGCTACTCCCTCTGGAATGCGAAGCTCCTGTGGCTACCAGAGCAAATGGAAATTCCAGGTGGAAAAGCCCCATGTTATTCAATGCTATAGAGTTCAGCCAGCCTGGAGTTTGGAGGGTTACAGAGCTGCCTTGCGCCTGGCTGCTACTGCTGCATTCCTGCTTCTGCCTCCAGCTGTGACCACCTCCTGCCACTCCTGCCCTCAATGTGAGATCCTGCCTGCTCTGTCTCCAGGAAGGACTGCCTTCCCGGCAACCTCCCCTCCTGAAGCCTCTTGGCCTTTGAAATCCTCTTATCTGGGTCACTGGGGGGGATCTTATTTGTGGATTGAGTCACCCCCAGTGGAGACAAATGTCTGGTGGAGTCTCTGGCCAGGCCCTCCTGAGCCTTCACTGGGCCCTGCATCGGAACCCTGCCAAGGCTGAGGGGCAAGGGAAACAGGCCAAGCCCTCGGGGCAGGCTGGGAGGGTCGAGGTAGAGGGCATTTAGAGGGTTAGATACAGAGCACCCCTTTAAAAAGACCAGCTACGGTTTTTTTGTATTACATGTTCATTTTAGACAATCAAAACATACTGCTCACGCTCCCTCATGTGAGTTTATGCATGGGTGGCGGATCCTACCAGATGTCTTCCTCACCTCTATACATAATATGCATAAATAGATAAAACATTTATCACCGAACCCATTGAGTTATGTAAATATTTGTCTAGCTTATATAACTTTTTTTTTTTTTTTTTTTTTGAGAGGGAGTTTTGCTCTTGTTACCCAGGCTGGAGTGCAATGGCGCGATCTCGGCTCACCGCAACCTCCGCCTCCTGGGTTCAGGCAATTCTCCCGCCTCAGCCTCCTGAGTAGCTGGGATTACAGGCACGTGCCACCATGCCCAGCTAATTTTTTGTATTTTTAGTAGAGACGGGGTTTCACCATGTTGACCGGGATGGCCTCGATCTCTTGACCTCGTGATCCACCCGCCTCGGCCTCCCAAAGTGCTGGGATTACAGGCTCGAGCCACCGCGCCCGGCTTATATAACTTTTAACATATGAATTTATATAACCTAAGCTTGCCCTCTTTCAGAAATACTTTTAACAAAGATGGGATTTCAGGCTCCCTGATGGGACCTTTGTAGAGGTCAGTGTTTGGCCACCAGCGGTCTTTCACCCTCCATCTGTTCTCCCACCCAGCCACATTCTGGCCCCTGGCAAGTCACAGGGAGTTTACACCAGGAAGTAAATGCCAGGGCCATATCTGCTGGACACCAGCAGGGTGGCCAATGTCACAGAGCGGGGTGGGCCTGGGCCGACCTTGGTCTGGGCTCATGACCTGCATGTCTGACTTGGGTCCAGCTGTTCCTCCTGACAGAGCCTCTTCCTGTGAGGTGGGGGTAACACAACCTTCCGGGGTGGCTGTGGGGTTAGTCAGTGTGGCTGCGCTGTGAGCAAAGTCTGGTGGAGATCTCTGTCTCCGCTGCTTTCCCTTTCCTGCTGGTCACCTTGGCTCTCCCAACACTTTGATCCCCCGCTGCGTGTGTCTGGAGCCAGCAGGAGGCTGGGCGGTGCCGAGGCTGGTGCTTTCCCCCTGCTGCCTCCCTTGGCTGACTTGAAGTCTGGGTCTTTATGCCAGAACTTTAAGACAGTGTGTCAGAATGGATTCAGCCGCAGAGAGCAGGAAGCCTGGATCCCAGCGCCTGATGGAAACGAGGGGTCAATGGTGCGGGGCTGGCATGGTGGTTCCCCCACCAGGGCCCAGATTCCTTCTGAGATCTCAGTCTCACTCTTCTAAGCACGAGGCTTGCATGCTAGGTGTCGTTTCGTGGCTGTGGGAGCTGCAGCCAGCACACATTTTAGGTAGGAAGGAGGAGGAGGGTAAAAGCAAAGGGTGGATGGCAGCTGCCTCCTCCTCTCCTGGAAGCCCACGGGCAGCGTGGGTCACAGCTCCCTGGGCAGAACTGGATCACACAGGCACACCTGTCCGCAAAAGGGTCTGGAAAAGGTCTTTTTAAAGCTGAATCTACTAAGATTCCTGTTACTAAGGAAGAAGGGAGGGATTGTATGGGCAACTACAGGGACCGCTGCTATACACGCACCTGGAAGACTAAATTTGTGACAGTGACAAGGGATTTGAGAGGGCAGGGTGATGAGGGGCTTTGGGGGGGTGCACTAGGAACCCTGACCTGGAGAGGGGCAGAATCAAACCTGCAGGTCCCTAATCCTAGTGGGTTGTTTGAGAAGTCTGTCCCTCTGTGCCAGGGGGCTGAGCCTTCTCAGGGTCACACATGAAAACTGAAATTCCTAAAGGCCACACACAGCCCCGGAAGCGCTGACTGACAAGGGCAGATGGCCAGTGATCCAGTCTTCTCTTTTGTCTTCACTTCTGTTGTTCGGCTGTCTTCAACACGTGGCCCCTACCTCACAGCAAATGCCGCCCCGGTTCTGGCCACCAGGAAGGAAGGGGGGCAGGGAGGGCAAGCCTCATTCTTTTTTTCTTTTTTTTTTTTGAGATGGAGTTTCGCTCTTGTTACCCAGGCTGGAGTGCAACGGCGCGATCTCGGCTCACCGCAACCTCCGCCTCCTGGGTTCAGGCAATTCTCCTGCCTCAGCCTCCCGAGTAGCTGGGATTACAGGCACGTGCCACCATGCCCAGCTGATTTTCTGTATTTTTAGTGGAGACGGGGTTTCACCATGTTGACCAGGATGGTCTCGATCTCTCGACCTCGTGATCCACCCGCCTCGGCCTCCCAAAGTGCTGGGATTACAGGCTTGAGCCA